CTTCGTGGACTACAGCCCACTTTGCATCTGAAGAAGTGGGCTGTAGTCCACGAAGCTTATGCTCTAATAAATTTGTTAGTCTCTAAGGTGCCACAAGTACTCCTGTTCTTTTTGCGGATACAGACTAACACAGCTGCTACTCTGAAACCTTTTAAATAGTTGGACTAATAAGCTTTTCTAGTGAAGACATAATGCTTTTGAGAAATATTGCATTGATAATCCATAAACAAATTGCCTCTAAATAAATCAGCAAATCTGTTCTTATTATTTATGAGTCATTCAAAAATTGCTAATGTTTTGGATTGGTTTGTACATCACAGGCTTTTGTTCTTGTCCCTCACAAAAACGAGAGGGAGGGTCTCGTTATCCAATATGACAATAAGTTGGTTTCACAGACTTACAAATTCATTACTTGTGGGGACAGGGAAGGAGACAGACACCGAAAGGAGGATATTACTGTTTTCCTTCTGCAGATTAAATAAATGAAGAGAAAACTGAGGCAGAATTACAAAGAGGATGTAAAGGACGGAGAGCACCCAAGTAGGGAATTATTGAGCTAAATGAAATTGAGGAGTGGGAGAGGAAGAAATATAGGTTGCAACTTTTGAAGAATTCGGTTATTTGAAAGTTATTCATTTCAAATTCAGAACAGCTGGAGAGATGCAACCCTTGCCTGAAGAAGAGCTTCCTCAAGCTATGAGAGCTTCTGTGGAGAATATTTCAAAAATAAGAGTTTAAATTATTATTTATACTTCAGTGGCATATGGAGGCCTATCACCCATTGTGGGATTTACTGTACAAAACAAGGAAGGATGGTCCCTGCTCAAAACACCTTAGAGCCATTCTTGAATGTTTTCATGATACGCCAAAGTACCGGGATAGGAGGTTGTTCTGAAGATGTTTTTTTGCTAACTTCTTGTCCTGATTAAACTAAAAACCAATTAAATCCCGACTTTAATAAACAAAAAACTCAAAAGCAGTTCCTGCTGGATGCAAACTTGTCTGCACCTGCACTTAATGCAGTTCCTGAAATCCCTTGTTTTTCAGGTTGTACTATGAAGGGTGTGCCAGTGATCAAAGGAGGCCTTTGGCACCTTTTAAACGTTGTCCTTAAAGAAAGTGCATTATGATATTGTGATATTTGTGTAATGATCTGATGCCTCCACATCTGGAAGGTGTTTTTGGACTAACTTAATATTCTGCAAAACACAGAACAACTTAAACGCAGAACAATCCCTTAAAAGAAAGGCCACATGCAACTCTACAAGTGATCATTCCAATCCTAGGGAAACGAGCAGACAGATCAGGATTTTTCACATATTTTTGAAATCCAATACAGTACTTCTCAAATTAGAGCCCTAGCTATTGACTCAATGTATAGAATCTTTTTTTTTAAAAAAAAAGTCATTATTATTATCAGACTTTGTAAAAAGTGTGGAAATGCATTAAAAACTGGGACTGTCTGTCCATCCTTAAGAAATTTAGGAATGAAAATTATTTTTCACTAGAGTGTAACCTAAACAAAAATTGACCAGCGCCTTTTCCATAGATACTGTATGTTTCACAGTCCCAGGGCAGTAACCACTGACATTTCCATTTTAATTGAATGGGAAAACAAAACAAAAACAATTGCAGTTCATAAATTGAGGGATTTCTGTCCTCTTTGTCCATATAAAACACAAATGTTAGTTACCCTCAATGCTTATATTGAAAACAAGTGTAGTGAAGTTTCATTACTTTAAGTGGATTGTGCTTTTATTTATCATGATGTAAGTGAACATTATTTTAATCTAGTCATGTCAAATTTTAATTTAAGTGCTTCTGATGTATAGAAAAGATGGCTTTCTGTATCCTCAAATTCACACACAATGAACGTTAGTTTTACTTCCTAACCTGTAAAATCCTGTGCTAGTGCATTAGATAACCCTGGAGCGCTATCATTTTTATGTTGCCTGTTCTGTTCTGACTAAGTTTAAGACATACTCTCTACAGTATTTTTTCTAGGAAGATTTCATTGTGTTTGACATTACATTTCATCAAAAACTTTAGTGGCTGAAATGAAAACACAGAGAACAGCAGTAGAGTGCCTGGAGATCACTGTTACAGGCCAGCTACACAGGCCTCTCCATTCTGCACTAGCTGGGCAGCAGATTCCTATCTTCCCCTTACATTATGAGCAAGTCTTGGTAGAAGTTATTTTATTACTTGCATTTTTGCTGGCTGCACAACTCACACTAAATTTCACAGTTCTCCTTACAAGCTCTGAGATAGACATGAGGCATGTTGTTTAGGAACTTACCTCCAAGGTAGGTGAAAGTTTTATATTCTCAGTCTTTTCAGAAAGGGCCACTTACCAGATCTCAGGAAAATCACAAGCTTAAGCATCACTGGACTGTTTTACTACTAGATTTCCCCTT